TTACCCATTTGTATTTGTGAATTATTGTTATTGTTATGATCTACATGCTAAATAAATGCTTAAATTAGAAATATACGCGTAAATGATGTAAACAAAGCAAAAAAAAATAAAAAATACTTATCGTTCGGAAACCCGTGATCACCCTCTGTAGCACACCTTCATTCTACTTTTTTTTTCTAATATTTATTATTTTTCTTTCCTCTTGATAAATTTCATAGGTGATCCTTTCATTTCTTAGATAAGCTTCTAGTGTTTTGAGCATAATCAGTGCACAAAAGGTACTCTAATTTGCCGGTTTTTCCCAACAGAACTCTCATTTTTCTGACAAATTTTTTTACAATAGGAAAGATTTCCAGCAGAAAAAATTTTATAAAAAATTTCTATTTATAATTAAATTTATTCATGTACTCCATATCTTTTTTGAATTTCAGATAGTATATGCTCTATTGAAATCAAATTCTTTACTTGGTGGACCCTCCAAAGATACTCACATTAACATATCTAAAGTTACTGTATTTAATAAATTTCTCATCCTAATTTTTAATTATATTTTGACAAGAAAACCCTCTTTCACAATCTACAGATGAAAAAGGAATACTATATACTATTTTAATCAATTTAATTAAGTTAGGAAATATATACAATTTTCATGACAGAAATTATATGTTTAAAATTTTTATCATGAAAGTTTCCTATAATATTTTTCATAGTTATTCTTGAAGTTTCCAATTTTTCTGCCTCACGATGATCCACAGAATTCATATATTCTAATAATCCTGATATGTGAAGTATTTGTAGAACCTATATAATTATGGAATTATTATTATTATATATCAAATAATAATTTATTTATATATGCATCTTATTTACCTTTTTGTGCAAAGACATTTTTTCTTTTATGAGTAAGACATGGTTTACAGAACATTCATTTGAATTAGAATCATAAGTTAACCATTTAAATTGAACTAACCAACTTGAATTGAATTTATTTTACAAGCTTCATTTTCTTCTAATATTTCAATAATTTTCAGTTCATTTGTTTGACAATCAAGATCAGAGGAATTATTTAAAATATGTCTTAAACTACCAGAAATATAAAATAACATATAAATAAATATATAGTTAAAGCTTGTTAAATTGATTGATTTATTATTGAATATACCTGTGGTTACTTTGATTACAGTGCGGATCATCTATACTCAAAAGTTAAAATTTTTGAAATATTATGTGATCCACACATTGGATTTTTAAAAACTCATCACCATTCAATTCAGCTTTAAAAAGGGAGTCTATTAATCTAGAAAAAAATTTGTCTCGAATTTTCTTTTTCATAGATTTTTTAAATTTGAAAGTTATGCTCAGAAGTGCAACAATAATTTTCGTATCACACAATTTTGAATCTCACGACCAAATTTGGTAATGATTTTCTTTTAATGTAATATGTTCGTTAAACTTTTTTGTTGTAAATAACTTTTATTCACTTTTATTTATTTATTATTAATAAAAAAAAGGAAATAAATAAGTCAAATAAATCAAATGTATGTTGTAGAAAATATTCTATGAAAAAAAAGTTGTTACACGAAATTTACTTAGTCTCAATTTCTTAAATGTATAAATGCTAAGGCTCAGCCAATTTTCAGTTTAAGAAAAAACCAGTTGATAAGTTTTGAAGCTTGAGTCATGAACAATTAAACTTATCGGTTAAATTTCTTAAAATGAGATAATTTTTTTTTGTTTTAGTATTTTGAAGTTGACCAATTGTTATTGTAAGCAATTAATGATTATAGATTATCTGCACCGTATTTTATTAATAACCTCTCCTAATTTTTTTCTAAAAGAAGGAATAAGTCCTGAAAATCTGTGCCTCAAATTTGCTGAGCAAAAAAGGTTAATTATTAAGGTTTGTGGCTAATTTTATTAATATATAGAATTTCGATGTTGATCTCCAAAAAATTTCGGAAAATACACTTTCCAATCGTTTAGTGTTGGACTACTATATTCAGAGCCGACTATACATATCCCTTAATAAAATTCTTTAAGTACATATTTGGTTTTGTACTATGTAGTACGTTCTATCCTTTAACAGTTAATTAGAACCCAGGGTTGAACATTTGATTTGAAAAACAGTATTCTTTAAAAAATAATAATACGAGTTGATCATTTTCAACTCGAATACAATCTTAACTAACCAACCCTCATTTTTACCCATTCGTGAATAAAAATCTTTGATAATAATAAAATAATAATGATATTATTGTCAGTCATAAATTGATAAAAAAAATTTCCCAACAATGAAATTCACAATTGAATTTTGGTAATCGTGGCGTTGCAAAAAAAAAATATAAAAAGTTAATCTATTGTTGTTTAATTTGGCTTCTTTTTTTTTTGAAAAATTTTTTTTTTTCAATATAATATAATGAATACGAATTACGCACCACCTGGAAGAGGTTCTACCCTTCGAAGGGGTAAAACTTTAACTAGACCTGAACGTCAACAACCTATTACACCACTTTTAACAGGGAAAAAAGAAAGAAAACCTTTAGATCCCTGGGTAATATTTTCTCGTGTTGTCACCATTTGGGCTCCAAACATTGCCCTATCAAAAATTGGCGGACTTCATGATAAAATGTCTCAACAAGCTTGGAGAGAGAAGGTCGCTTTATGTTTTATTGCTATTATTATGGGCGCAATTGTAGCCTTTTTAACTATAGGTTTTAGGCCTACTTTATGTCCAGAAGATCAAGCCAATAATGCTGAAACATACTTACCTTATGGGGTTACTAGTGGTAATTATTGTATTATTTTTTTAATTATAAAAATTATTATTATTGTAGTTTTGAATTTTTTTATTTTTTAATTAAAAAAATTTTGATTTATTTATATATACATATAATAATATAGGGTTGGGAATTTTAGGATGGCATTTTGACATCTCGAAAGCAAGAATCAATGAAATAAATTTTATCGAACTTTCAGCTAAACAGCCAGGATTAGATATCACTCCACTTTTTAAACGCGATGTTAGTCAAATACCAAGTTGTTCAAATCCTTCGATCCAAAAATTTGCTGCCGTTACAACTCCATTATGTAATGTTACTGTAAATAATAATTGTCCACTTCGACCACTTGCTCAAGCAGCTACCGCATATAACTTATATAATACAAGCAAATTGGTTGGTTTTGATTGGAAGCAATTGGGTAACCTTACTAACTATATAGTCCTTGATGGAAAAGTACTCAATTTCGATTCTTACTTTAACGCCCATCCACAACCAATTGCCGATGATTTACTTGATGCTATCATTCGAAATACTAAAAATAATTCTCATCCTTCGGGTGGTAAAGACGCTACTCGCTTATTTTATAAAACAAGCGAAACAAAAGATGCAATGAATTGTCTCCAAGATAAATACTATGCCGGTCACATAGACAAAGAAACTATTGGTTGTTTCACATCAGATCTGTTTAATTTTATCATGTTGGTGATCATTTTGGGTGTGGTTATGGCCAAATTTATAATGGCTTGTATATTCAATTGGTTCTTGTCTCATCTGCTTGCTCTTGAACCAAAAAAAGAAAAGAAGGCTGTAATATCTCCGCAAGTTCTTTCTGGCGGTTATGCAAAAAAACATCCCGCTCCATGGGCCCATAAGAATGATTCTGGTTCTGTAGTTAAAACAATTGGTAAAGATGAGATTGGGAATGATCTTTTCACTGTATTGCTTATAACTTGCTATTCTGAGGGTGAAGACGGCATTCGTATCACATGTGAATCGATGGCTGGGACTGATTATCCTGATGATCGTAAATTGTTATTTTTAGTTTGTGATGGCATAATTACTGGTAGTGGGAATGAAAAAAGTACACCGGATATTTGTGTTAATCTAATGGAAATTGAACAAGGTTTTGAAGATCCAAATCCTCAAAGTTATATTGCTATCGCTGCTGGAAATAAACAGCACAATATGGCAAAAGTTTACGCGGGATATTTTCGTGAGTCTATATTTTAATATTTTTGATATTAAATATTTTTTTTTTAGCATAAATTTTCATAAATTTTTACATACATATACATATATAGCATATGAAAATCATCGTGTTCCAATGATTGTTGTTGTTAAATGTGGTAATCCAGATGAACAAAATTCGCCAAAACCTGGGAATCGAGGAAAAAGAGATTCTCAATTGATATTAATGAGTTTCTTTAGTAGAGTTACCTACAATGATCGTATGTGTGCTTTAGATTATGATTTGTTTGGAAAAATTCATCATCTGATGGGCGTGACTCCAGATTTTTTTGAATTGGTTTTGATGGTTTGTTGAAACACACAAATATTTCCCTTTTATTTATTTATTTTATTTTTCGCTCTTAACATAAAATGGTTTTACTTCCCCATTTTAAAAAAAAGGTGGACGCTGATACAAAAGTTTATTCAGATTCTCTAAGACTTTTGGTTAACTGTATGTGTAACGACCAATTAATTATGGGTCTATGTGGCGAAACTAAAATTGGCAACAAACGTGATTCATGGGTCACTGCAATTCAAGTATTTGAATATTATATATCGCATCATTTGGGTAAAGGTTTTGAATCAGTATTTGGTGGTGTGACATGTTTGCCAGGTTGTTTTTGTATGTATCGTTTCAAAGCTCGTAAAGGTGATAATGACTGGGTTCCTATCATAGCAAATCCAGAAATCGTGCAAGAATATAGTCAAAATGAGGTCAATACACTTCATCAAAAGAATTTATTATTATTAGGAGAAGATCGTTTTTTGACAACTCTTATGCTTAGACATTTTCCTAATCGTAAAATGACATTTTGCCCTCAAGCTATTTGTAAAACAATTGTGCCAGATGAATTTAAAGTTTTATTATCTCAACGTCGTAGGTGGATCAATTCAACAATTCATAATTTAATGGAACTTGTTTTAGTTAGAAATCTTTGTGGAACTTTTTGTTTCTCAATGCAATTTGTGGTTTTCATGGAATTACAAGGAACAATTGTGCTGCCTGTTGCCATCATGTTAACTTTCACACTGATCATCTCATCAATCTTAAATCCGCCACATGATTTTGCTGAATCAATACCTTTATTGATGTTGGCTGCTATACTAGGTCTACCAGCTATATTAATTTTAATTACTACTCGTAAACTTGTTTATATTGCTTGGATGTTGATTTACTTGTTAGCTTTGCCAATTTGGAATTTTGTTTTACCAACTTATGCTTATTGGCATTTTGATGATTTTTCATGGGGCGAAACTAGGTTCGTATTATAATAGTATTAATATAGTAATTAAGAAATATTAATTTTTACAATTTTTATTATGAAAAATTTAGAAAAGTTGAAGGTGAAAGTAAAGGAGATGATCATGGTAAAAAGGAGGGACAATTTGACAGATCGAAAGTTCCGTTGAAAAGATGGGAAGATTGGGAGCGTACTAGAATTCGTAGAATTAAACGCAAAGAACGTCAACGACAACAATTAGAAAGTGGCTCCATACATTTAACACATCTAAGTATGGCCAGTGAAGAGGATGTTAGTTTAATTCCTCCAAATTCATCACATTACGACGATGATGAAACATCATCAATCAAGTCAGGTGCAACACATGATCTCGGTCCACAACAACAATATTATGAATATTCTGGTAGTGGTGGTGGTGGCGGTAGCGGCAGTCTCTCACAAGCATACGGTGATGGAAACCAAGAATATGAACAACAACCACCATCATCACAACCACAATATCAGCAGCAGCAGCAACAACAACAAATTGACGATTTGTTATTTGACAATAATAATGATAATAATCGCCAACGATAAAAAATATTTATTTATTAATTTTCATAAAAACATTTGTATATACGTATGTTATTTTAGATTATTTATTCCTTTATTTACTACACCTCCTTTTCCTCTAGTAGATGAAGGTATTGGTGATGATGATGATGATGATGATGATGATGATAACGACAACGTTCGCTTTTCATTTTCATTTGTTGCTTCATTATCAGAGATTGCACTTATTTTTTCCAAATATTTTTCTTTTTGATTGTTTTTACATTTTAACGGTGAATTCTTTAAAGCATATAATTTATGAAATGTTTCTAATGTTTCAGATGACTTAAATTTTTTTTATAATTATTGTATATTTTAGTAAACAAATGTTAAGAATAATATTTTTCCAACAATTTTATTCCGACTTACATCATAATCATAATATTTCATTTTTTTCCATTTTTCTTCATCGTTAAATCGTTGTGCATTTGTACGAACATTTTTCTTTATTGATGATTTTTCTGTATTTGTTTCTGTGTTTTTCCCCTTAAAAATCATTTATAATGAAGACTAACAATTTAGAATGAATGTGTATTTATATATATATATGAGATTCACTATTGTTACTAAGTAACCTTAACTTTTCCTGTAATTTTTGTTTTGCTTGATCCGATAATAAATTCATCAGTTGATTGTTTGTTTCCTCCGTTAATGCTTCCAAATTCATTATTGGTATCTTCTTCCTCCATAGCTTGAGCTTTTTTATTAGCATTTTTTTGTTTCTCGTCTATTTTATCTAAATATTTTAATCCTGGACGTAATTGAAAAGTTGAACGAATAGGCGTCAAATGAAGATTGCCTAATTGAAGAGAATATAGTTAATTAATTGGTTACAATATTGATCAATTAATCATAAGAATAAATAATCATCACCATCTTTAACTACCCCCATCCAGTAATTGGCTTGTTGAGGAACAATTGTAGATTGTAAAGTTTGTCGATCTAATAATCCTTCACTTTGATCTCGGCGCCATGTTCTATCATATATTGTTTTTGCTTCTTTATCATTAAGCCCTAATGCTAAATCCTTTCCTCTTTCATGATCATACCATTTTGAATTTGTTTGAAGTGGAATGTCCAATTCTAATTTTACAGAATCCTGTTTAAACCGTGCTTCACAAGGAGCATTGATTCCAGTGTAAGGATTATTATGTGGTCTCACAGGATGCTGGACTATGTATAAATTATTACTAAGTTGTTGCGATAAAAAAATAGGAATCTCTTGTACAATGTCATTAGAATCAAGATTCGGTTCACTCATATTCAAAAATTGTTGAATTTTTTGTTATTACATATCCGCCAATTTGCGCACCCATTTTGGGGTACAAAAATATGGAAAACAATAATCTGGGGATCATATAGAAATTTTCCTAATCGGGAATAAATTTTTTAATTTTGAAAAAAAAATTATTATTTAAAATTTTAATAACTTCCTTTATTTGTAGAAGAATTTGTAATTTTTCCATTCCCCTCTACTATTTTTGTTTCCTTTCATACCACCTTTACCTCAAAATTAACAATGTCAATGTAGGCAAATTGATTATTATCAAAATGTCTAATTGACCAACCCTCATCACCAAGTAAATTTTCTAACCTTTTGTTACCTTCTTCTCCAATGAATGAACTTATGTACAACCTTCTAGCAGGGTAATATCTTTCCAAATCATTTTTAAAAACGCCTAAAAACATACCCTCACTACATGAAATAGTTAATGCTTTTTTCCCTAAACTTTTGTGATGTAATGTCAATTTTTTTTTAATATTGTAAATTAAACTTTCTTTAAATTGTGTCAAGTAGTATTGAACAGGAGAAGGAATATCTGAAGGATATCCACAGTATTCAAAGTGTTTTTCTTTTCATGTTGTACTTAACCATTTTTTGTTTATATATGATTTATTGCATATGATGCAATTTTCCAAGTTGTTGTTATCATCATTATTGTTGCTATCATCATCATTGTTGTTTTCTTGATTCATAATTATTAATTAAAAAAATTATTATATTAAAAAATTTAAAACCTATATTTGGGGCATGCTGCAACAAAACCAGACAAAGTGAACATTAGTAAGTACTTAGTAATTTACAAAAGGTATGATGATTGAATGATCTAATGGTAGAACAGTTCAAAAGCATTTTATTATATTTAATAATTTGACTATTTTATTATGAAAATCTAAATTGGCAAATTTCTAATGTGGTTATTTTTGCTCAATATATTTGATATATTTTTTTTAAATAGCAATATATATAAACAACTGACTTCCTTAATTTCTTTAACGAGATAATTTTTTCCTTTTGGAAAAGTTTCAGTTCTAATTTTCACTTTGAATCTGAAGGCATTTCATTATAAAAACTGAACTTTTCATCCATACTTTACCTAAAGTAACAACGAGTTCAATGTATCGCAACAACCAACATTCTTTTTAACAACTAATAAATAATATTTACACTTTCTTTGCACAATATTCATTATCTCTCCCTTTTATTATTTTATTTTTAGTCATCACAACGATTTAAAAAAAACGGAAAAAGAAAGCAAGGCTTCTAATATTTCAATTATTGATATCAAGATAGTAAGGTAGTGGGCAAACTATAACAACAAGTCCTGAAGATTATTTTTTTTAGAAAAAGATTTTTTCTGTATATAAATATCGTTAATATCAAAGATACTATTTTTAAATTAGCAAAAAATCAGGGTATGAGCTTAAATTTTAGTACATTGTACGAACATATCATGTGATTTATGATAATTTTTATTGGTTGATCAAATGTAATATATATGTGTGTGTTAAATTCGTCAACTTTTGTCACAGCGAACTATAATAATAATAATAATAATCAAACTCTTGTCGTAACGGATTTTTAAAAAATTTTGCTTCGCATATCACACGTAAAAATATATAAAAATCCGCTGTGGCAAGATTAGTATTAGTATTTAGTAATCTTGCCACAACGGATTTTAAATAAAATTTGTTTATGTGTACCGTTCATCCGCTGTGGCAAGCAAGGTTTGACTATATTGTGGAATTAACTACATAATGTATATGATTGAAGTTATTTAATACCACTATTAATTATTTTGAATTGATAATATAATTAACAAGAATGTAAAGATAATTTTTTTATTTCATTATAAATAAATAGAAAAAAAAATTTAGGAATCACGGTAATAATAATACTACTAATACTACTAACAATAATGCACCCGGGATAATGTAAGTATAATATGATAATCAGGGTTTTTCTGATAACGAAGTAGTATTACGATCTGTTACGACCTTTAATTATAGTAATCGTAATGGTAATAGGGCTGACAGCATAATATTATTATAAAATAATATTTTAAAATCATCGTACGTTCGTACAACGAAATTGCACAACACTGACTATAATAATAACGTATATAATACTACTTAATAATAACAAGGGATTTAAATAAGTACATATAACATGATAATCAGGTTTTTTCTGATAATGAAATAGTATTATGACCCCCGTTACAACATCTTGTAATCCATTAATTATATAATAGGTTATCGGCTTAATAATAATAGGATTTTACAAAGTAATATTTTGTCACCGCAGAAAATCATCGTTCCTGATACATCTTACATTCGTACGTACGTACGTACATATGTAAAATTTCCTCGTACAGGTGTACGACCACAACGAAACTGTACGAACTCAATGATACGAAGTCAGTCGTACGTACGTACGTACGAAGATTCTTCTCGTACAGCGAAATCGCACAACCCTGTTCTAAATACTACATGTTTTCCATTCACTATATTGCTAAATAAATACACTATCTTCTTTCAACCATTGTAATAAAAAAAAACATAAATGTAAAAAAATTATTAATTTTTTAATAAAATAATCCCATTCGCGCTTTAATATTTTTCAATATTATTAACAAACTAATTTCTAAAAGATCTGTTAATCATATCTCTATCATGCGAAGGAATAATTATTGCGCATGGCTTTACACCCGAATGACATGGAAGTGGTGTGTTTAATGACCAAGGATATTTCACTTGACCACTATATCCCGTCCAATCAAAATCAATGATTTTTACAGACCAAATCTTGTTAGGATCCAATCTTGCCATTATGTTATTGAAACAAAAGTCACCATGAACAAAATTACCATTTTGCAATATATGTAGTGCATCTAATATATATTTTTTTAAGCTTTCTTTTTGGTTCTGATTTAAATCTTCCCATATTTCATATGCTTCTTTAAACTCAGCAAGGTCTTCCAAAATGATAGTCATGTAGTCTGTATTCTTGATCTTATTCCCAACAAATATTAATTCCGGGGCAATGCCATTTTCGAAGCAGTGTTTGTGTACATTAGTACCATATGATGTAACAAATTTCAAAATACGCTTGATTTTTGTTAACGATTCTTCAATTTGAAATACAAGTTTATTTTTGAATATGCGTTTTTGATGGATAAATTTGATTGTTTTTTCTTCACTTGTTGTATAAAAGTTCACAAATGGAAAAGATGCCTGACAAATATTTAATTGTGATGCTATCATATTTTTTCATAATTCCCATATAATAATTCTCCAACTGCAGATTGGCTTTTCATAAAGCAACAAAGATTCGTGCTGTTTCATTCAGCCAAGATTCTTTTTCACGTCTGAAAAGAAATGAGCCATGAACAAGAGGAGTGATTGTTATATTTTTTCCCTATGACTCCACCAGCGATTCCGAAAAAATGTTCAGTGGTGTAAACAAGAAAAGCTGGACAGCAAGTTATGTTCAGGAGATGTGAATTACGTTTTAATTCTGTGAAATACTTTGTATAATATGTACTATACATGAAGTCGAAACTATTTCAACCATTTGCAGATCTGGTTGAAATAGGGTCGAAAATAAGGTCAAAACTGATTTTTACTATGTAGTTGCCTCAAGTCGAAACATTTTGACTTTGGGGTTTTAATTTTGACTTTCATGTATAATATGTACATACTTGTACATATGGATCATTTTGTGATTTATAGTCTTGAATTCATATATTGTTAATAATAATGTAATTCCACAAATTTCTTTCCTCCAAACCCATCTATCTAGGATTTATCATCAAAAATATATTGTATTGTGTCATGCTGAAAAAATTCACAAGCCCACTTACAAAAAATTATACGTTTTTGTTTTTCATCATTATTATTAACAAAACTACTAATTCTAGACTGTAGCTCATATGTTTTTAATTTATCATTGTCAGTTATGATGATGTTCTCACAATTGCTTAAAAATGAACCAAATATTTCATGATACAGTGTAATTGGCATGTCAAAATTATTTGCTGGTAAGCAGTTTACCATTGGTTTTATATAGGCTGATAATGTCTTTGAATAATTTTCATATTTTGCAAACTCAGATGGTGATGATTTTATCAGCTTAGCTCGTTCCTCAATGTATTCTATATCATTATCAAATTTTTGTTCAGCTAGTTGTATAAATATAGGAATAGAGAAAAGTATAAATAGATAAATAATTTATAAGACTCTGCAAAATTTATATAGTGATTTTGATGGATGAATAAGAGAAATTTGATAATATTTATAGATAAACATACACTTCCTGGTCATAAATATAAGGACACTTGCAGATCATCAGAAATAATTGAATAAAGAAACATGAAAAAAAATAAAAATTTTATTAACCTAACCGCATTTGCTTATTAAGTAAAAATTCATCTTCATATCAAATAGTATAACATACTGAAGTTTCGCTGCATATAAACAACAACTTGTTGTTTTACGAACCTTAAAAAATAAAAATGAATTTTTCGGAATTTTCAAAAAAATCTTTAACTCGAAAATTGACCACAATGTCGAGTTCTAACGACCTTTGCGGTATAAGTGAAAAATGCGTCTTATGTTTGAATCTAGTTATATCCAAAGTTCTAGATCATTTGGTAAATTAATTGCCAAGATGTCATACAAAATTCTCAAACGAGTTAATTTTGAAGATCTTTTAAAAAAATCCCAAATTAGATAATTCATTTAAAGTAAACTTTAACCATTTCATTTTTTTTAAAGAAAACTTAAAATGCCCAAAGCTACTCAATTATCCGAATTTGAACGTGGAGAAATCGTTGGTTTAAAAAAAGCCAATTTTTCTTATAGAGAAATAGCTCGTATATTAAATAGATCCAAAAGTGCAGTTGAAAAGGTTGCCAATGATTATTTTTCAAAAAATAAAACAACTGCAGTTCTTAGACCTGGCAGACCTAAAAAGTTATCAGAGCGTGATGAAAGACAACTTATGAAAGCAGTAAAAAAGGATACTAAAACAACTGCTCTTAAATTAGTCAAGAGTCTTGAAGAATTAAACATTGTAACAAGTGAGAAAACTATCAGACGAACATTACATTCTAAAAATGTTTATGGAAGAAAAGCTGTCAAAAAACCTCTTGTTTCTGATGTAAATAGGAAAAAAAGGTTATACTGGTGCCATGCAAGAAAAAATTGGAGTCGTAATGAATGGGATAAAATAATATTTAGTGATGAAAGTAGATTTGAGTTGTTTCAAAACGATTCAAATGATTGGGTCTGGAGGAAGCCAGGAGAAAAATATAATAAAGAAAATTTAAGTCCAACAGTAAAAAAATCTGATGGAATTATGGTTTGGGGATGTTTTACAAGAGAAAAAATGGGTCCATTAGTATTAGTTGAAGGTAAATTAAATGCAATTGGTTATAATAAACTTCTTGCAGAAAATTTACTACCTTATATTAATGAATTAAGAGAGGAGAATCGTGGTGGTGATGGTGGTGGCGATGGTGATAGTGGTGATGATGATAGTCATGGTTGTAGTCGTGTGTTTACTTTTCAAGAAGATAATGCACCATGTCATAAAGCAGCTGTAGCAAATCGATGGAAAGAGGAAAATCATATTATGGTTCTTCCTTGGCCTGCTCAAAGTCCAGACCTCAATCCTATTGAAAATTTATGGCAGGATTTAAAAAGAAGACTTAGAATGAGAAACCCAAAACCAAAAAATAAGACAGAACTATTCAATTTATTAAAAGAGGAATGGTTTAA